CCTTCAGGGGTAGCTCTTTTTCGGGCTACACCCAAAGGGTCCAAAGTACCTGTAGAGTAGAATGTAGGGTTTCCATATCAGGAATTACTATGATGATTTGGGGAAGTATCCCCCATAACAATACCTAGGACCCTTTGGGACAGGTCACCAAAAATTTGACAAGTGTGCGGCAGGTGGACGGGATGACCTTTGCATCGCGCTGCCGCGGCCGGCGGATGCAGAGGCCTTCAGCGGAGGGAGACGCGGGGGTAGCCTAAACCCTAAACCCTGATAAACCCTAAAACCTATAAAACCCTAAAGCCCTAAACCCTAAAAGCCTAAGCCCTAAAACCCATAAAACCCTAAAGCCCTACACCCCAAAAGCCTAAACCCTAAAGCCCTAAACCCTAAACCGTTTAACATGTTTGGCCATGCGTGATTGTGGGTTCTAGCCTTGACGAGGCTGGGCGGGGGTCGGCTTCAGATGTTGGGCTTAGGATTCAGAATTGAGGGTGTGGAGAGTCATTTTTGGCTCATAACAGGCTTAGGCTTTACGTGGTTCAAGGCTTACAAGGTTTAGGGTTTTCCGAGCACTAGAACCAGTGAGTTTCACAGCACAGTGAGAAAAATATAAGATTGGGAAGAAGACAGAACTGTACAGTCGTAACCCGCCCCGGCCATTGCTGGTTGTTCACAAGAGCACAAGCAGGAGCTACTCCTGTGGGCTATGTCAGCTCGCTACGGTTCTTCGATACATGGTTCCATGTACACATATCCGGTTCGCTTTCCGATATGTGAAACCCTACACTGAAGAGGATGTCAAAATCTGAGAAACTGTACCCTGCCGAAGGTTTGTGATGAAGCGGCCAGGCCTTCGGCAGGGATGGCGGGATTTGTGGGAGATGCAAAGAGTCTTGTGGGAATGGGCTTTCGGGTGTTAAGTCGGCTTGAGAGTGTAAGGCTTAGGGAGTTCAAGGGTTTCGGATTCTAAGTCGGCTTAAGGCTTAAGAGTTTAAGGCTGAGTAGGGAGTTCAAGGGTTTCGGGTTTAAGGGTTCAGGCGGATAAAGGTTCGGAGGTGGAGGGTTTACTTTGGGGTTCATAGAGAACGAGAGTCGAGGGCTTGGGACTGCCTGGTCCTTGAGGCTCATATGTGGTAAATCCCGTCCCAGATGTCTTCAGGCTCCGATGGTGGAAACCATTAAGCCACTTGCGCTCTTCGGCGGCAGCCAAAGTCCGCGAACGAGACAAGACCATGGACCCCGAACCAGCTACTGCTAAACCCTTGACCCTTTGATCCCGAACTTCTATAAACTTTGACAAACCTTGATTTCTATAGGTTTTTGAAGCAGCTCCAACCCGAAAACCCTTCTAGTGTGAACACTCAATCCCTCAACTCACCGCGGGATCTCTGAGGCTACTGTAATATAGGGGCCTTAATAATTTGAATAGGGTTTTGGGGCCCATTATGCTACAATTACAAGTTGTAACGGACGGAGGCCGCAGCTTGGCGCTGGCTGTGGCTGGCAGGTGGGCCCTTGGGGAGCCTGCGGCGCCGACTGCGCACCCCGTGGACGCGAGGCGAGAGTGTGTACGGTTTTTTGCGGTGGTTGCTTCTCGCTCGGAGTTTTAAGGTCTTGGGATTTAGGATTTTTGCGATTCTGAGTTTTGGGGCTAAGAATTCAGAATGTGTTTGTTAGGGCTGGGCTTAGTGCCGGGAATGCCCAGACCTGCGGTTTAGGTTGCGTCAGGGTGTCACCGTTGAGCTTCTGCTTCGGACTGACGCTGAAAACTCGTCGACAGATTGACAAGAACGACGACTGTTTGGGATCATGGTGATGGTGGTGACATGGACGACGATGACGCAGATGATCGACGTGTCCGTCCCCGCTTACCATGATCACTATCATGACCCTCAATCGCGCTACAGGTTTCATCCCATGTGCTTACTTTGTCGATGGGCCCTGGTTATCGCGTTTGAGTAGCCCTAAACCCCAAACAAACCCTGCTACACCCTAACAGAGGGTAAATATGACACCATCAAACCCAAAACTCCCATGCAAACTGCCCTACACCCGAACCCCCAAAGAAGCCCTAACTTCACTAAACCCCTAAACTTCTAAACCCTCAACCCCGAAACCCTTGATCCCCAAAATCCAAGCCCGAACCCCCAAAGAAGCCCTAACAAGGGCAAAAATGTGACAGGTCACCTGCGGCGGCAATGGCTCCGCCCTGGGCGTTTGTTTTGGTCGGAAGCCGGCCGAGGCTGAAGCTTGCCAGGCCAGGGCTGGGTTTCGGGTAGGGCTTAGGGTTTAAGGCATATGGGGCTTATGGGATTTAGGGTTTAGGGTTTTGTCGGGTAGGGTTTAGGGTGGCGGTTGTCTGGGTTTAGGGTTTATAGGGTACATAGGATTTAGAGTATGGGGTACATAGGGTTTAGGGTATAGGGTTGAGGGGATATAGGCTTTAAGGGGTTTTCTGGGTTTAGGGTTTAGAGGTTTAGGGTTTGTATGATACTTTTGCTTGAGCGGAAGAGGGGCGGAGCAGGGGGGTTAGGGTTAAGGGCTGGCTTCGGAAAGTTGGTGGTTGTGGTGATTTTAATTTTAGGGTTTGGGCTGCTGGCGCTTCGATGTATTCCTTGGAGTCAAGGCAGTTCTGCAGCAGGCTTATCTGCGCCCTTCGCCCAGAGCCCGAAGGCCCCAAAGCCAGAATAATTGATCATAGAATTTCTTGTGCCTCGTATACAATTTACAATGAATCATACCACCAGACCGTATCCGGGTATTCTGTTTTAGAAGGAAGAGGCGTGCACGGTGCCGGCCGCTGGCAACGAAACCAGTGCCAGGCGAGATCCGGAGTAGCTTGGGGTCAAGGCGTTTTAGTTAAGGGGTTTTCTGGGGGTTTAGGGCTCAGGGTCAAGGGTTGAAGGTATAGGAAAGGCTCAAGTCAAGGGCTCAAAATTGACATAGGGTTTCGGGTTCTATTAACTAGCTACTGATATCCCCCCAAAGCCCCTGTATAAACCCTATTCAACCTTCTAAGTACTCAGCCTATGTTAAGTTTAAGGTTTAATATTTCAGCCTGGGCTCGGTGAGCTGCTGCTGCTGATAGCGTGTCAGGCTTTCATCAACAGTCCCTTTGCGGAACCGACATACGTATATTCTTAAAGCGGCAGCCTATAGTCTGGAACCCAAACGGGGCGCTAGTTTTGGCAACCACCCACATCGAGAACTTGGTATCCTGGTCCTAGACCCTTCGCTTCCTGCGAGACTCTGAAGCGCCCATGCGACATCCCACCTGCAATCCATAGAATTGTAACATTGGATTTCCCAACCCTCAACAGCAAGAGACACCTAAAACCGAGCGAACCCCGAAGCCCGACACCATGCCACCTCGAAACTCTATGCCCTTGTGCACGAAACTTCGCTGCACCGTTCAGGTTTTCGCTGCAGTTCCTTATGGACTCAGCCATGACGCCGGAGCTGTTGGACAACGTCGTGGATGGAGCCAGGAAGGCTTCAACAGGGCTGCAGGAGTTGTAGTACTCAACCACGGTAAGGACATGTAAGGACCCTCATCCTTAAACCTGTCAGGGGCCTTAGATCTCGGCTTCTGTTTGAAACGTTGAGCCCTACCCCGCGGAGATTTCATGCAGTCATGTTACAATGTTTGGGGAGTCGTGGGACAGAGGCACAGAAGAGACAGGCATTCCGCAGCATCCGTTTAGCGTTCAGATCGCTGCTTTTGCGTGCCGGCCGTCAGCCTCGCTCTGGCAGGGATGAACTGCTTGAACCTCGGCCTTGATGGCAGACAGTCTTCCAAAAGTGTAAGGTGAACCTGCACGGTTGCAGTCTGACGTCGCTCGAACGGGCCGACAGATAAGTTGGAGCTTCCTTCGCATGGCAACAAAACGCGCATGTTGTGCATCACTAAGGCTTCATGGACGGACTTTATCTCTTCGCAGATGCACTATCGGGCTGACTCCCGCAGTACGTAACCTGCGCATCTGTACAGGTGTCGCACGCACTGGGACACCAGACGTTTTTGATTCGGTGGCGATTCACCGGCAGCAGCTCATGCCACCAAGCTGAACCTAGCCAAGGGATTCTTGCTTTTGCTCTTCGCAGTATATGAGCTTTTCATCAAAATCTTACCCGGTGCCCCGATCCTGAGTCAGGCCAGGGACAATCGCGTGGGCAGAGTACTGTGTGCAGGCAAGCGGGCCACTCTTATCAGCGACGGTGCTTTTCTAAAGCATCCAGAAAGACAAGTGCCAAAGTTCAGTTCCTGGTGGATGGAGATGCGGCACCGATCCATCATGTCGAGGATGCAATCCAGAGCTTGAGGTCTGATTTTCGAAAGGTTAATGCGATTCTATTCGCTGCTCCCGGACGGATGGAGAATGTGAAATGGAAGCAGTGTATTCTGTCCACGCCCGCACTGCAGTTCAAGCCAGTTCCACGAGAAGGATTTCGAGGCCAGCCAACCGACGACGCGCGGTTTACTATCAGGACCTATGGGAATCCAAGGGTGCAGAAGTAAGAAATCTCGATCCTTACCGCAACGTTCCTTTCAAGATTCGTGGTGTTCTTCGCACAGACAAGACGGGTACCTTTGAGCTCGCAGACTCTGATCGGCTTCCCGCTGGAGAGTGCATGCACCGAATACAATATCTTCTGAGTTTTCTCAAATCCCTTGGCTGGTTGGGGGATGATGATGACAAGCTGGTACCAGCACTTGTCAAGTTTTGGTTTCATCATTTCCGCCACCGAAATCCCGACATGCATAGCTCGATCACGGTCTTTCCGATAGACCGACTTATCTGGACGATGTACGACCTTGTGCACGTCAGCGGCAGCTCTTGGCAGACACGAGAGTCCAAGTATGCCTACTGCACTCCATTGGCTCAAAGTTGCAAGCTCGGCAAGGAAGCAACACAGAAATTCGGGGGCATCAGGCAAAGACGTCTTTTCTCGGCGGTGGTCCATTCATTCTCGATAATTCGGATGATCTTCCCAAGAAAATGATGACTCGGCTTGGCTACTTGGATACACACAACACGGACATGCAGGAAGCTGCCTTTGTTTTTGCGAACACCAGCCACAACAAAAACAACCTGCGACAGATGGGCATGCTGTCTGAAAGTGGCTTTCACATGTCACAAATGAGACATGCCTTCCTCGCAAATTTTACCTCCCAGTGGCACCTCGCACCTGCTGACGTCAAAATCCGAAAGTACTTGCTCCAAGAAGGCTACATACAAAGCGAGACAGCCGAAAAGCAGCAGGTGTGGAAGGCAATGCGCAAGTATGCCCGAAAAGGCAACTTGCCAGGCCCTGATTTGCAGACGTACAACGGGCTTGTGTGGCGTATAAACCGCGGGGTTTTCATGGAGAAAGATATTACCAAAAGAAGCACCTTTGTGGTGCATTCCGAAACTGTGCTCTGACACAGTTGTCCAAGCAGGATCTTCCGGCGAAAGCTGCTTGATTAGAGTTGAATGACAGAGTGAACGGTGGCCTTTTCTTCCAGCGTCCCGGAGACACCTCGTCTTCAGGCCGAAGCTGGAAGAGCGAATTGAAAGGTTCTCCGCGCAGATGCTGCAGTAGTCTTGAAGGGAGCTTCTGTGAGCAGCATGCCTAGCGAGAGAGGTCAACACATTCTTGCATGTCAGCAGCTCAGACGTTCATCACAAACGGGCTGCTAGCTCCTTCTTTAAGGCACACACTTTGCACATGATCCTACTGACCTAATGATAGCATTCCACGCCCTTAAGTAAGGTCTGTCGCCAGATCCGGGCCTTCTAGTCTAACTTCGCCCAACAAGATGGCCTTGCAGAGCTTAGCTGCTCATTGTTTAAGCCACTTTGAGACCTGGAGCTTGTTGATACAGCCTTCGTGTCTCGCGCAAGGCCGTAGCCGAGCTCCTGGGCTTATCTGAGGACATGGTGAAGGTGCATGCGCTCGACTAAAACTTTCAACCCCCGCCTTTTCTGGGTTTCGGGTTTATCTATACCCACCATAGCACTATGTGGGGTTGCAGGTTATCGGATTCCAGCTTTGGTCAGGCTTTCCAGCATTAGAGCCTTGCGGTAAGGCTGGGTACTCAAACGGGTCCCCCAAACCAGGACCTGACACAGAATAATGAAGTACCAACTCCACGGAGCAGTGTTGATTCCCATGACAGTTCGGGCTACAGTAGAGGTATTGGAGAGCTGCAGGTGTGATAGCTGATTTCGCCCAGTGGGTATTCACGTGCCTTCGCTCAGTATTGAACTGACTTGATTTTGAGGCATTGAGGCCTACAGATTCCAGATGCTCGGGGTAGGCCTGCATGTGGTATGCGTTTCAGCAGACGTCGCCGTCAAGCAGCGTCAGCCGCGATGCGCTGTGCGAACGAAGCCCAAGCAGCAGCAGCAGCAGCAGCAGCAGCAGCAGCAGCAGCATCTGCGGCAGCAATCGGAATAAACTGGACACTTGAGACCGGCCGGCAGGTTCATGTGGTTTCAGACGCATCGGGACGCCGCTTGAGTGTCGTCACGAAGCTGGAGGCCGACTGGTAGCCCTGCAGTTCAGGACTTTGCAGGTCTTGGTCACGTCCAAGTCACAGTCCCATAGTGTCTTTGGTCAAGCATGCTCATGAAGTACAACATTCCGGGGCTTTAAGTGTCTTAGGACATTTTAGCGGTTTGGGCCACATGCCACGTGTTGCAGTAGGAAGATAGCTGTCCACAGCCTTTTGTTGCATTCGTGAGGTCCCTTTCGACAGAGTAAAGGATATGTTGGGTATCGGAGGCTTTCACTCTTTAGGGTAGCTCTGGAAACCGACTCAGGAACCAAGGGGTCATGAAGCCGGTGTGCGTATTTCTTGGCAGGGGAAGTTGAGTCTTTACGCAGCAACCGCCTACTTTGCAGTAGAGGCTCACGTTGATCGAAAGGCTTAGCATGGAGCGCCCGAAGGATGAATTGTGAACCCGCTATCCAAAGCGACACAGTTGCGTGCAAGCCGTGCAACTGAAGCCCTCCCGAAGCTGTGGAGTCGTTGAATATGTCCGCAGGTTTGCGAAACAGTTCCCGGCATCCTCCTTACAAATCTCTAAATCCCAACTCCCGTGGTAAACACGAAGCTCCGAGAAACCTGAAACCCTCAACACCCAAAAGGCTTATAGAAGCCTTATAAGAGCCTTTAGAGGAGGACCTTAAGCCCCCCCTCTAAACCTTGTAAGAGCCTTTAAAAGGGAACCCTTACGCCCCCTTTGCAACTCGAAGCTCCGAGAGGTAGAGCTCCTCGCGGCGCCGCGGAGCTCCACGGCATTGCTGGCCTCCGATGCAGGGCAGGAGGGATCTCGAGAGACTACTATAGAAGTCTGCATAAGCCCTTATTTTACAATCCCAAACCATTCGGTGTTATAAACCACCTTATTGAAGCCCTAGATCGACCTCTTTAAGCCATCTGATAGGGGTCTGAGTACTTGGCAATGCCGTTCGCTACTTTTTGTTACACTCTTATTAGAATATACACTGAGAGGAAGAAGGCTCCCAGATCGGGTGATGCGACTCGGTCTTTTCGGTTAGATTGTAGATTCGCAAGTATCAGTCGGTATCAGTGACTGTTGACATGAAGTCTTGTGCAGGTTTGGGTGAACGGCACTGTCTAAACCAGAAACTCCAAACCCACTGAGATCCTTGCGCCCGATACTGTGCGTCCTGTTCACTTCCTTTAGTAGGGAATGGAGGAGTGGGGTACAATTATACCTACTATTACTACCATTCTTCCATTCCCTACTAACCAAAGGTGAGCTTCTAGACCTGAGCTTCATAACCCTGTCAAGCCCACACAAGCGGAACAAATTCTAGCCCCTGGAGCCCGTCCAGATTTCGTAAGCAACAAGCCCAACATGCCAACCTCTGCTGTTAATCTCAGAATCCTTCGACGGACTCTCTGCACATGATGTGAAGCCGATTGAAGTCGAACTCAACAATCACCTTCTCTTTCAACCCCCAGCCTAAAAATTGCAAGCCCTGGAGCCCTCAGCTCCTACAAGGGCCCGAAACCCAAAACCCATGTAACCCAAACGCCCAGAACCCCCGCGCGCGCGAAGTTTCCTCCCCCAAACCCGAAACACAATGGCCCTTGTTGTCTTTCAGAGGACCTCCTCTCTACTGAGCTCATGGAGGAGTGGGACTCCTTAGGAGTGCCCTTGGACAACTTCAGCGCACCGCGGCTGCAAAACGCAAGCGTTTTAGGGTAATGGTTCAGGCCCCTTAGGATTCTTGAGGAGTAGATTGAATTTCGCTTGGGTTTCGGGTTGAGGCTTGGGGATTGAGGGTTCAGGGTGTGGAGCTTTTTGCGATTTCTGGCTCAGTGTCATGTTGAGGGCTTCGAGATTTTCCCGATCGGATCTGAAGGGCGCGACCTGTGCGAATGCCGGTGGAGCAGCTCAGATACACACACTAAGAGGGTTTAGGGTTTTGGGTTTATGTATACTCAAAGTAGCTCGGTCAGAAGGGCCTGTACTTAGAGGCCCAGGGTAAGAACCCAGCTACATCACGACAGCCCCAAACACTGACATCCAAGTTCCCAGAACCCGATCGGCCCGGAACCTCCGAACCCCTGAAGCACCTGAGCCCTAGACCTAGGATGCCCGGTAGTACCCTTATTCCCTGTATTAATCCTAGGTTCCTTGCAGAGGTACCCAATACCAAAAAGGAAGCCCTTTTTTATTCCAAGGTTACTGGGCATCCTAGGGACTCGTAGTTTTGCACATGGGCTCCCGGAACCAGAAGAGCTCAACCCTCCAAAGCGGAAGACGCGAATATCCCAGGCCGAAACCGCCACACAAGCTCACTGTGTAAATTCCTAACCGAAGGCTTTATCCTGATGAATAAGGGTCCCTAACCCCTAAACCGCTCTGTAAATCCCCAAAACCCCAGAAGCCCTAGATTGTCAACCCTAGACCCCTAAACCCCTAACCCCTACAGCCTAATGATTAAGGCCCCAGTCTTCGATCCCTCATCAGGTGCTCATTGGTCCGGTGGAGGAGCTTGCCAGCAGCACCACGACATCGACGCAGATGCTCCCTTGGCCAACAAGAAACCCCAATCCCTCTGCTTAGGTTTCAGGCCTCGGGCTCCCTATAGTTCCCTATATGGGTGGTTGTCAAAATTATGGTCCCTGTTTGGGGTACCCTCAATACTAGGGGAAGTTGCGAGTTTCAGGGTCCTCGGGGTCAGTTTCGGTGTTGAGTTTCGGGGCTGAGTTTCGGATCGGGCCCGGGTCAGTTTCGGAACGGGCCTGGGTCAGTTTCGGATCAGGCCCGGGTCAGTTTCGGATCGGCTACGGGTCAGTTTCGGATCGGGATGTGGTCAGTTTCGGATCGGCCCCAGGCCGGATTCAGGTACGGAGCAGGCCTGGTCCCAGCATGCAGGTTTCTGTTCACGACCCCCCGCAGCTCTCCAGGTCCCGGCCGCAGGTCCCCTGTCCGCCCAAGGCCACGTCCCAGTCCGCAGGTCACCCTGGGTGTGTTGTTGTGTTGGTGTGTTGTGTTGCGTGTGTTCGGTGTTGGCGTGTTGCTGTTCGTGTTCGTTGGTGGATGGGGGTGTTTGCTGCATTGGTGTCTTGTATGTTGGGTGGGTGTGCTGGTGTGTTGTGTTGGTACGTCGGTTTGTGGGTGTTTGCCGAGACGGAGGAGCGCTTGATCCCGCACTCTTAGCAATCAATTTTATAACCCCAATCCACCCTAAACCCAGTAACCCCAATCGCTGACTCCTACACTGCGATAGGCCTAAATCCTGGTTGCGCCCATAGTAAACCTGAACCCATGCAATCCCCAACTTGAGGCCTAAACTTGCCATCCCCATCACCCCATCCCCCAAAAGCCCCGGGGCTTTGAGCCCAAGCACCCAAACCTAACAGTCTAGACTTCAACACCGAAATCTCAAACCGAAGCTTCGAAAGCGCTCGGGCCGCCATGGCTTGCACGCAACACAACATGCAGTTCCGCAGGGAGCTTAGCTCCTCATACAGTCGGAAATACCATCATTTGACATGCAAATAGATATTATAGATATTATGGAGATGCACTTTCACTTACGTATCTATGTTCCGAGAAATCAGTATGCTTTGTATGTAATGCGGGCATGCATGCAAGAATGACCATTGTACGCACGTAGGTATGCATGCATGCATGCATGTATGTATGTAGGTACGTATGTATGTGGGCATGCACGTAGGTATGTAGGCTATGTGTGCATCTATGATCATCTATGTTTCTTGTCTGTTCGTTTGCTTAGTTGCCAACTTGCTTGCGTTCTTGCGTGCTTGCTTGTTGGTGTGCCCGTATGTTTGCGTGCTTGAATGTACGTATGTTTGCCCGTATACATGTACTTGCGTAGATACGTACATAGGTACAGGTATGTATGTACGTAGGTAGGTGGGTACGTATGTATGCATCATGTAGCATATTATAACGTATGAATACAATATCATCCATTTGTGTGCTTTGTCCTTGCGTTTTCAGAACGTCTATTTCCTGTCTATGTCCAGCTCTCTGCCTCCATGCCTGTCCCGATCTCGACCTCTATCTCTCTGTCTCTCCGTTCCTCGAGCGTTGTACGTTTCAGACGCGGTAGGGTAGATTTCAGGTCCGATTTCAGGCATGAAGTTCGGCAAAGCTGCATTTCAGACACACATTTCAGACGCAGTGGTGATACTTGGAAATTGCAAGGTTGGCCATAGAGTTAGGGTTTGAGCATATCATATACATATAAATGTATTCAAACACGCCCCTCATTTGGCGATTCCGGTTATCATATACCTTAAACACCCCCCCCCCCCCCATTCTGCGATTCCGGTGTATCATATGTTTTTAAACACGCCCCTCATTTGGCGATTCCGGCTATCATATACCTGAAACACGCCCCCATTTTGCGATTCCGGCTATCATATACCTTAAACACGCGCCCCATTGGGCGATTCCGGTTTATCATGTAAATGTATATACATATATTTAAACACACCCCTCCTTTGGCGATTCAAGTTGTCATATAACTTAAACACGCCCCCCAATGGAGCGATTCCGGTTCATCAGATATATTTAAACACGCCCCTCATTTGGCGATTCCGGCTATCACATACCTTCAACATGCCAGACCCGCGGGGTTCTTAAACACGCCCTCCATCGGACGATTCCTGCATGTTTACCATATTATATATATATATATATATATAAACACGCTCCTCATTTGGCGACTCCTGCTATCATATACCTTAAACACGCCCCCCGACTGGGCGATTCCGATTCTTGATCTTTAGACGCGCCCCTCATTTGGCGATTCTTGCTGTCATATACCTTAAACACGCCAGACCACTGGGGTTCATCATATATGTCAAACACCCCCCCATTGGGCGATTCCGGTTTAACATATACATATATATATATATGTATATGTATATACATATATATATATAATTCCATTTAAACACGCCCTTCATTTGGCGATTCCAGCTATCATATGCCTTAAACACCCCGCCCCCCCCCATTCTGCGATTCCGGTGTATTATTATATGTATTTAAAGACACCCCTCATCTGGCGATTCCAGCTGTCGTTTACCTTCGACACGCCAAACCGGTGGGTTCATCTTATATATATATATATATGGTACCCCCCCCCCCCCCCCGGAATCCACGCCCTAAGCCCTGCCGCAGGTATGACCGTCGACTTTGTCCACGAGATCTTCCACGTTTCCTTGTTTTTGTTTTTCTGCGCTTCCGTTCTTGTTTTTGTATGTGTGTCGTACATGCGTATGTCCAGTCAGTGAGTCGGTATGGTGGTAGTCCGCTTCGTCGCGTATCTGTACATGTACATTCATGTGGAAGTGCATACGCATCAAAAATGAACATATTCAGGAATTGAGCATATTCTTCGAGACAGTCCCAAAAAAACCCAAAACACCAAAACTCATAGAACACGAAACAGGCATATTCCTTGGGACAGTCCCAAAAAAACCAAAAAGACCAAAGACCACAGGCTACGAAATGAGCATATTCTTCGAGACAATCCCAAAAAAACCAAAAGGACCAAAGATTCCAAGCTACGTCCACCCATGGGAAAGGTACTCAAGCATCCCATCGTGCACAAGAAAGGCAAATTTCGCGCTGCACAAAAGAAACCATCCATCAAAAAGGACAAGCTGTGGAAGAACACACCCTACATCCGAGAGAACCTCCTCGTGGGTCCCCGCGGAAGACGCAAGGACCAGTTCCATTGGCATCGCACTCTTCCGCAACTTCTCCTGGCAAGCGACAAGCAGATTATCAACATGCTCGTCTCTGACAAGATTTTGCCCAAGTGGAAAGGGAAAAAGTGTCCGCATTGTGAAGTTGGCATCTTGTCTGATTTGCAAATGGAGAAACGTACTGGATTGTACAAACACCGTTGCAGCTCTCGCCATTGTCACAAGTATGTCAGCCCGCACCACTTGCACCCGGTGTTCACGGAAGGCATGGGGGCAGCTTCACGAAGTCTTCAGATGCAGGCGTCTCTTCTGCTACTCAAGCTTCTACGCGTGCCACATCCAACCATCAACGTCCTCTTGCGTGTGAACCACAAGTCCATCGAAGACATGGAGACAAAGATTTGTGATCTTCGCAAAGCCTTCGTGGAAAAGCAGGAAAAGAACATTTTGTTCGGCGGCGGCAAGACCTGGAAAGACGTTGAAGCAGCAACTTGCTTGCAATATTAAGTTTTTGGTTTTACTATACATGGAGCTTGTGAAGTAGAACACAAACAAACATCAAACACACACAAGGACGAAGCCACCTTCGACAGAAGGGACATTTCCCAGGATGCGGACTTCAAACACCTCGTGAAGAACAACACAGCCACTACCATGTGGGAACAGTGGGCCGGCGTTATCCAACGAGGCCGTCCTGAAACACTCGTACTCTCCAAATTGAAGCCGAAGCTCACGGTGAAGCGAGCCCCAGGACCCGGAGCAATCAGGCGCATTGAGCGGAAAACCCTTGGAACCAAGCTCCTCAAGGACCGGAAGGTTGTTCTCCACACGGATGCGGCTCGGTCCTACAAGGCCAAGATTCCTGGTGTCATCCATGATAAAGTGGTTCACGCCAAGAAGCGCGTGAAGCGGAACGGCAAGTACATCTGGCAACAGCCCAAGTATGTTAAGGTCGTAACCCACAAGATCCCCGACTCCAGCAAGAAGATCGTTGTAAAGTCTGGAACCCAGATCATTGATCGCTGTTGGAGGTTTTTAAAAGAGAGAATCCGAATCAACCAGCACACCAAGGCTGGCAGTAGACAGCTATGTGCCAAACTTAGGTCGGCTCAATACGAGTATTGGTACCGTAACGAGGACCTATGGCTCAAGTTTGGCGAACTCTGCGCTGAGAACATGCGCAAGTTTCTCAAGTAAACCTGTCCAAAAGGACTATGTTCATCTCTCGCATGGGGTACTTTCGAAGGACGAGCCCCCCAAAGACCGCAGGAATCTGCTGCATAGTATGATTCCCTGGGCCTCGTTTCTACTGGTCGATTTAGATTAACTTGAACTCACTGTAGAGTTTGTACAGCCACCATTGTTTCACGGCTCAAATGACTTACGTGGCTCAAACCTGCATTGCTTTGCTGTTTAGCAACGGCCCACAACTCTGGAAGGCCCAAACTGCGGCTTTGACAGCCCACAAAAGCACAGATGGCCCCAAACTGACAAAAAAAACCCTAAAACACCCTAAACCAAAGCCCTGCAACAATGCCCTAAACTAAACTCTAAAAATGCCCTAAACTCTAAGCTTGCCTGCAAACCCCAAACCTTACACCTTTCTAGGGAACTGATGCTGCATAGTTTGAGGCTTTCTGAGACCCTGCTGTGATTGAGGCTCCAGCCAGGCCCCATATGCCACATCACAGAATCACCAACTTTTGAGAGACCATGGCATCGCATGTGAGAGTCTCAATAAGATAGTTTTCTCGATTTACACAGCTTACACATCAGAAATAGTTTAACTTTCTCGTCGCAGACACAGTACATGGATGGTCCTGCTGTGGCTGGTCGGACGGTGGGACAGTGACGCTGAGTTTAAGCTTCGAAACCGAAGCAACAAGCAGATCAGATTCAGTAACTTGCTGACAAAGTTGTCCCGTGCAGATCCGGCTGGCGGCTTGAAGCTTCTGGACGACCGCTTATCTAGATGTTCTTTGAACCGTAGCGCCTGCGAGGATTTGAAAGGCAAGGTTTTGGGCTTGTTGGATGTTGAGCCTGCAAGGATTCCAGATGGGCCACTGGGCAAGCTAACTTCAGAGCAAAGGCTTGCTTGGTTGCTGACTGATCGAAACGATATGGCTTTCAATATTGTGAAGGGTGTGTTTTCCCTGCAAGCACCTGTTGAAGCAGCTGTCGTTGGGAATGCGAGTCGGGCAAAGCGGACAATTTTTCAGTTGCAAGCCGGGTTTACAGAGAGGCTCGGAGGTGAAGTTCTTGATTCCAGCTTGACTTTACGGCAGACTCTGCAGCAACATGGTTATTTGCAACCACATAGCACGATGCCGGTGGTAGCTGTGCAGGTGTGGCGACCAATGGCTTTTCTGATAAATCAGGGCATGTGGTCGGATTTAAGTTTGCCAAACAAGGTGTATTCTAGTGTAGTCTCGCCTGAAGCTTCGCGGTCTGTGCAGTGCCTACTCGAAGCGCAAGGCATGGAATGGGGCAGGCAATCAGCTTCATCTCAAGTATCTTTGCATCCCACAAATTTTCGTGAATGGGCTGATATTATCCGGAATTGGGCAGACAGCATGGCTGGAAACAGCAGAATGGGCCCGGAGGGTGCTTCAGAGATACGCTTCAGCATGGAGCTTCTGGTTTCTACTATGTAAGGGCAAGCTGATGCGTTGGAAGCTGTGCGATCGGGGATGTTCGATTGCAAGAGATGGGGCTTCCATCGCTATGACATGGTGTTTCTGATTCGCTGTCTGTTCTTGTGCAGCAGTTTGAGAAGTGATCGTGCTCTCCGGGATGCATTGGTTTCAAGCTTGCATGTCCTGTTCCAAGGAAGCCCAGGTGGAGAAGCAAACTACTTCATAGAAATCCTAGGTGACAACGACTTCCCCGTGCCCAGCCCGTCAACACTTGGTCATATGCGGTTTGTTTTGGATTGTGTTGCTATGCTTCAGAAGCGAAAATATCATGAGAAAGTCTTCGCCACTGGCCAACCCGAGCCGGCTCTGTTTTTCCTTTTGGACAGCAGCCCGCAAGGAAATGTCAATTGGCTGATGATCGAATACTTCCTCGTTGAAGGAAACAAACTGCAAGGCCTTTGTGCGGATGCCTGGCGTCTTCACAAGCTCGGCCGGGTCAGATGGCAGGATGATCCGGATGAGGAAAGGGTTGCTGAAGAGCGGAGGTTGGTTGAAAGGTTGACTTCTGTCGTGCAGCACCATGTTTTGCCGCCAGTTGGCTTGGGTAGTGGCCGATCAAGCTTGCAGTACGAACACCATGCCTTTCTCCATGCACTATTTCTTGAGACGGGCAATTTCGAGCTTATGTGTGCAATAGGGTCGCAAACGACGGCAATTGCGAGTGACAAAGGCACAGAGGCTGGGATCCAGCAGGCCCCCGCAGTATCCCTTCGAGATTTCTTGTGTTTTGCACAAGGTGACTCATTCATGGCAGATGATGGGGAAGGGCAAAACAAGGTGGAGACATGCATGCTTGACTTCAGTTCTTCGCTGGGGATTCATGCCCTACAACACTTTGTAAACAATTGCACGAAGGGCATCGCAGATGCCATGCTGTCATTCTGGGAGGAAGTTTACCCAAGCATGAATGCCTTGATCAGTTGCCTCAGTGCCAAATTCTTCAGACAGCGCTTTGCGGCCACATGCCTCTTGAGCTCTGAGGGTGCAGCTTGGCGCTCGAAATTCGAAGAGGGCTACAGCGACACTTTGGTAGGATGGCGGTTTGGATCTTTAGCAGCTTGCAGCCGGGCTTTGCTCACGTACGAGTACCCCTTACGACGTTTTTGGGATGATGAGAAGCTTCATTTCAAGCAGCATGCACCTCAGCAGCCTCAGCAGGCCCCTCCCAGGCCACATAGTGAAAAACCCGAAGGTCCCAATATTTCATTGGCATCTCAAGCTTGTAAATCCAATTTTTTTGGGGCTTGGCAACACATGTTTTCTAGAATAGCAAACATTGTGGACCACATGATGAATTGGTTGCAAGCCTGTCCTTGCCACGACTTGGATGCAGGATCTTGGGGGGCACGCTGCCATGAGTTTGCCCAACGGTTGTTCTTGGAGAGAGAGAACCGACCTGCCCATTGTCCAATGTCAGGTTTCCGTGCGTCGGAGATTGCTTGTGGACAGTTCGAATCCTTCGTAACAGCCATAACAGACATGGAGCTCGCTGAGGTGTCTGTTGCAGTAGAGGGTTGCAGCCCGCAAGAGCGTGCATCAGTCCTAGCAGATTGCCAAGCTGCCCGGCAACATGTGGTGTTTGCAGTGCAAGCCGAATTGTCGTGCTGGGGGCTGACTCCCCGTGTATTTTGCGGGCTTAGCAACTGCAGTGAGGAGTCCGCAAGGAAGGCAGTTCTCTCAGGCTTCCGTCAATGGTGGGCAATGTCTGATGCTGACAAGGCTAGGGCACATCCGTTGACCAAGCGCTTCTGTGAGGAAGGGCCCTTGAACAGTGAGCTTCTAGACTTCCTCAACGGCCGAGATCGTTCAGAGCTTGCGCTTGTCATGCAGGAAGCAGGCCGTTTGTTGCTAGTGCCAGTGAATGAAATATCAGTAGAGCGACTTCATGCTCAAACACGCAAACAGCTGAAGCGAGGACCTGCTGCGGGTGCTGTTTCTATCAGTTGGGCCCAGAGATCAGGCAAGTTTTTACGTGAGCTTGCTAGCCAGCCTCAGGTACTAAAAGAAGTGGCTGCGGGATCTGCTGATAACTATCACCCCCTCCGGTTGATCCCCACTTTGGGTTTAGGTGCTCGCCCCAACATAGTTGATGCCATTTCCGCGACGACATTGGAAACCCGAACAGGGACTTTTGAGTTGCTGGGAAGCACCAAGGATTATGACAAGATATCAAAGCAGATTGTGTACCATTTGGATTTGCAGTCGCAGTTCTTGCCTTCCAATCCTGCATTCAGCAAAAGATCCAGTGGTGGCATTGGTGCAAGGGAGGCAGTGTCGTTGGAGGATTTGCGGGAGCAGCTGTTGTTGGAGAAGTTCCGTCAAGTGCATGCTCCAGGAACATTTTACACCATCCACAAAGGCCATGTAGCTGATGTTCTGGTTGCTGATGAGCTGCCCGCTTTTCGTGTGAACTCTCGGCCGCAGGAGTCTGCAACAGACCTGTCGTTTCAGGCTGACGGCGATGGGGATGTCGATTCAGCGATGCCGGGCCCTGTGCAAAATCAAGCAGAAGTGGCTCTGCCTGCCAGGGCCAGGGATAGGTTCATAGCCTTCCAGGTTCTGAACATACAGCCTTCGGCCAAGAAATATGCTCTCTGTGACACGGGCAAGGAATTGCAGGTGACAGACATCGCCGTGTCCCAGCATCGGATCTTGCAGCTAGATACAGCTGCCAGGGAGTTGGAGGTTTCCATGGAACCTGTCTCAGATTCGAAAGCCTGGTCTCGAATGTTGACTGCAAGAGCCCTAAGTAGTTGCTATGCATGGAGTGCAAAGACAGGAAGCCTCACAGCGTCTTTGCAGGAGAGTCTCGCTGCACATGTTGCTTCAGAGGAGTTGTTGCAACAGATCCGCGCATGTGTTTCAATGCTTTATTTGGCCAGAGCCGTTCCCAACACAACGAACTATATTCCTGCCACTACTTTGCAGGGACACTTGAACGATGGATTGGATTTCTTGTTGTCGAAGAATTGTGTTCTGGTATCAAATGATCTGTGCCAGCTCACTTCACAAGGCCTCGAGGCACTTCAGCTCACGCAGGTTCTTGTGGAGCCAACAGCTCTGCTGTCGCTTGAGGCAGACACGCCTGCTCGGAAGCGTAGTGCAGCAGCTTTGCTTCATTTCCTCGTTGAGAAAGGTTGGTCTCTTGAGCACGTCAAACCAAGGGCGGTGGTAGCACCGCTCGGGCCGTTTTCCGAGGCCTCTCCTCCTTCCAGCAAAACCATTCTGCTCAAGGAAAACCGAAAAACAATTGATCGTGAATACATGTTGGCTCTGGTTCTTGTCGAAGATGCTAGCCACCGCAAGAAATTGCTTGACATTGGCATCAACAGCATCGAACATCTCATGCCGCTTCCTTTCTATGTTGCCCTGAACAATGCTGATGAGGCAGGGTTGCAGGCCATGTTGATGGAGGCGGATGCTGGTGATGATGAAGCTGATTTGGCAGAACGTTTTCGGAGGGTTCGACAAGGCTGGCGAAGGAAGGCAGCCTACAGGCTGGACACTTCTTTCCGATGGGGCTGTGTCAGTTTCAAGGGCACACGGCGCAAACTGGCGGATGGTGGCTGGTCATTAGGCTATGAATGTGATTGCCCAAGGAGATCCCACTCTAAGGCTTCTGCAAGTGGCGGTCGCACACGTTGTACTTGGACGATGCAATATGCTGATGAAGATGAGCGGTTGTTGGTGCTCCGTAAACTGAAATGGTGGGTCACGCAGGCGTGGTCCTGCAACTCGAAGCAAGCGCACCAGGCTTTTCGAAACAAGCTCCCGGATGAGTTGCCCAGCATGCACGAGCTTGATGAGATTATGCCTGCAGAGGGGCGGCCGTTGACTGAGGATGAGGCTGACCAAGATGCTGACCCCCCGCCTACCAAGCGGGCTCGTGGCAGCAGGGGGCGTGGCCGTGCTGCGACTGTGAAAGCTAAACCTAAACCTAAGTCCAAGGCCAGGGTTCGCGGGCGTGGCCGAGGACGTGCTGTGCCAGAAGCAGCAGAGGCTTCTGCTTCCGCAGATGTGCCGGTGCCTCACGATGAAGCCGCTTCGGATCCAGAATCCGAGCCAGTGTCCTCTCGCCATAGTAGTAGAAGTGACAGTAGCAGTGACAGCAGCAGCAGCAGTTCCAGTGATTCCAGCGCTTCATCCTCCAGCTAGACCGCAGTGTGTTCTGAACTCAGAGCAATTTCAGTGCGGTTGGCTGGCTTGCGTGCTTGAGCATCTTGGGATCACCGCTGCTCCGTCTTCAAGCCCAAAGAAATCCACGTCTCAAGGCGGGGCTCCTGTTCTGTGTGTTCTAGGGCTCTGACCTTAGCAAAACTACCTGCCAGGTGCTGGGGCCTTCAGCAAGCAGGACATCGTCTTGGGGTTGGATCCTCATTGACGAGCCACCGCTGAAGGAAGTTGCTCTGTACCCTGTTTCTGATGAGGTCTCACCTGCATCTCTTGGCCGAGGCCGGCTGCAGGCAGTGCCTTCAGACTGTGGGTCTTGCTGGGTCGTTCGGTGCTTGTCGGTTTTAGGCTTTAGTCTGTTTATGTTGTGTGGGCAGGTGCTGCCAACTCAAGAGCAACGGCCTCCTTCTCGCCATCATACATGCCCAAGAACCGCTCGAAGCTCACTTTCTGTTCACTGTCAGTCTTGCTTACCTGACATACTCATGTGTGCTACCTCTGTGTGTCCTGAGTTGTGACCTCCGACTTCACCAATGCGAAGCAGATCGTGATGCCAACACTTTGCCAGTCAGGTCTCGTCCTTGGTGCAGCTCTTTGTTTGCAGGCACTCGAACATTAGCAAGTGTACCTTCGAATGCATTGAAACCCTTCCATATGACAAACGCATGTTTGCACCTGGCTAGGGTTTTCGGGTTTTCGGCCCTAGACTGTGTGACAACTGGACAGATCTGGCAGCACTCTGGGAAAGGGCCTGGGGGGTGCTGGTAAGGGCCTGCAAGAGCTTTGGGTTCGCAGTCTTGGGGCTGTGGGTGCATTTCGGTTAGATTACTTTAAAAGGGGATGGCTGGGCCTGGGGCCCTGGGGCTGAGGCTGGGGGGGCTTGGGGGAGGGCTTGGAAGACTAGTTTAAAGGGAGATGGCTGGGCCTGGGGTTGGGGGGAGGGTCCGAAGAAAAGTAGTCTTCGCCGAAGACTACTTTAAAGGGGATGGCGTGGCCCCCAGCAATGGCGAAGACTGTTTTAAAGGGAACCCTAGTTCCTTTGCTCCAAAAGCGTGCAAATAGGCAAAATACTCAAAACCCAATCACATTTTGCATTTTTGCTCAAAACACAAAAATCAAGGCATTACCGGCATCGCGCAACGAAGGAGAACCAAGGACCACCAAGGACCACCAAGGCAGAACCAAGGCGAACCAAGGACAACCGAGGACAATCAAGGGGAGAACCGAGGAGAACCGAGGACAACCGAGGAAAGAACCGAGGACAACCAAGGAAGGAACCGAGGGCAACCGAGGGCAACCGAGGGCAACCGAGGGCAACCGAGGGCAACCGAGGGCAACGAAGGGCAACCGAGGGCAACCGAGGGCAACCGAGCGCAACCGAGCACAACCAAGCACATCCGAGCACAACCGAGGGCCAGGTGTGGGGAAGGGTTTCATGCCTGGTTTCAGTTTTTTTTGGTTTGGTCCTACATGAATAGAAATTTTCAATACTTTCCAAGATTTTCCGGAAATCTGATAAGTTTTTTGCAATGACAAGGTTTCAGCAGACCATGTGTACTGTATAACCAAAGGTAGTAAGTCTCGCCAGCTCAGGCTGGCCACCTTGGCTCTGCATGGCGACTGCCTGCAGCAGGCCAGCCCCGGATTAAGGACGCTTGGGTTATGCCGTGCATTGACATGTCTGCCTGAAAGCAGCAGGTGTATCCACTTGTGACTTAAGTGCTGAGTGCGGTGCTCAAATCCAGCTTCGCATGATGAAGCGCCGCCATGATGCAGCAGTCCGAACCGGGCGCCCCGGTCCCCAATCTGTTTACGAGTTGCTGACGTGGCCCACCCAAGTGTGTACAGATGCAATTCGGGATGAGGAAGCAAGGGCAACACTGGCCGCGAACATGTCGCACGGTTTGTTACTTGCATCGGACTATGCTGGTGCAAGGATGGCAGATGATGCCCTCCACAGGGTGTCAGCAGAGATTGCCAGCATCCTGAAGTTGGGTCAGGGCGACGGCCAATGTCGTGTCAGGACTGCCTACACCTGTGATTGCGAAGCAGCTCCGATGATGGTCTGCTTGGATGGCAGCCATCCGGCTGACCATCATTTCCAGCTTTTGGAAGAACGCCTTCCGAAGAATCTGTTGCAGGAGGTGAACGACATTGTGGCTCAGTCTCAGTCTGCAGGGACTGACATGGCTGCTGCCTACCAATCTGTGGCCAGGCTTCTCATGCGGCGTCCGGATAAGATGGCCAGGGTGCAGAGCAACTGCATTCGGCACTTCGGCAGCACATGCGCTGCATCTTTGTTTCCGGAGGACTACAGGATGGACGGCAAAGCGGTGTCCATGAACATCGCGGGTGTCACCTGCGTGGGCTTCTCCCAGCTCGGCGGTCAGGCGAAGGCGAGGCTTGCACACGCCTCGATGAAGTCGTTCCACATCTGGGCGTGGTCGGTTCGCAATCTGCTTCCGGATGTGATCGTGGCTGAATCCGCGCAGTTCTTCGAGAAGGGCCTCTTCACCTGGTGGTTTGAAGACCGCTACTATGTGGTCTTCTTGGACCATCCGGGACCGTCTTTGCTCGGCTTTCCGATGAATAGACCTCGGATGTACGTCATCTTGGTCAACCGCGACAAATTCATCACTACAGCGTCTTTCCAGGGCTACAAGGATATGTTCTCGAGGAACGTTTGCTTGAGTGGTGATGCTTACTTCAATGCAAAGCCGGAGGATGTGTTGAAGGAGGCGCGGCATTTGGCTGGAGTGCGCAAGGTCACTGATTCCCAGTAACAAAGCTTTGAGCTTTTGTGGTTTAGTAGCACTCTGAAGGTTCTAAAATTGAAGCCGGCTTGTTGGCACACCGTAGACCCTCCAAGCTGGGTACTGCTGTGCCTTATACAAGGTCCAGAAGCCGACTATCGATCAGCTCGACGATCTTGATTGGCTGCGGCTGTATCCTGTGGGCATGAAAGAACGTTATCGCCAGTATGACGAAGCACGGCTCAGAGCCTCTGAAGCCAGGGCTCCGGAACACTCGGGGGTTTTCATAGCCGACCTGGAACAGTCTGCAAGCTTTGGCCCTGTAGCTGGCCATTTCCTGCCGACCCTGGTGACGCATGGCTGTCTCCACAGCTGGCGACACAGGCGATGTTTGATCCCTCTGGAGCACTTGGGAGCCCAAGGAGTGCAGATCTACCCGCATGCTACCGCCCAGGCGGCCATGCAAAGCCTCATGCAGCCGCTCCTGCAGAGCGGTGTTCTGTCTCGCGGCGACCAGAAGCGGTTGGCGGGCAATGGGATGCACCAACCGACGGTGGCAAGCGTCGTGCTCTACACGCTCTCGTCGTTACACCGCATCAACAAGCACCCAAGTCCGCTGCAGCTGCATATGCAGCTGCTTCCGGATGCCGCTGATGCTGATGACGATGCTGGGGCTACTGCGTCGGTGGCCATGCGCAGGATGGGAAGCGTCGTCTCTGATGGCGATGGCGGTGATGGCTTGAGTTTGTGAAGCTGTGTTAAACATAGCCTCAGGTGTGCTGTTCCGTTGCCTCCGAGCCTTTGACAATTTGAGACTCTGAGCATGCAGATGCTCAAGATACTTTTTTGTGTGGATGACTCAAAAGTAGCAGAGGTGCCACAGACTCTAGAGCCACTTTGAATCTTCTCCGATGGGCCGCAAAAAAAGCTGCAGTTGCACTACCTGTTAGCTGCTTCACCTGCTGTGCCGAGCGCTGAACATGCAGAGCTTGATGCAGCCGCTCCTGCAGAGTGGTGCTTTGAGTCTTTGAGTAACTTTGAGTCGAGCTGACATGAAGCATTGGGAAGACAACAGCATTATTGGCGAGTTTGGCGGTCCTGTTGCAAGTCGTGCTGCAAATCAGCTGCTGCCACATCTTGGGTCACGCGTGGGGAGGGTTAGACTGTGAGTGACTTGAGTGCGGGCTTGAGCTTCTGAAGCTGTGTTAAACACGGTGACTCCTGCTTCTCTTCCGTTTAAACCTCCATTGCTCTCAATGGGGGACGCCCCAGAAGCTCCACAGCAACTTTCATTCTTCTCAGAAGATGCGGATTGTTTGCTAGGGTCACCTCTCAAGAAGGTGAAGCTGGAGGATCAGTCTACGACTCCGACGGCTACCCCTTCCCCAACTCCAGGCAAATCGGATGCCACTTCATCGCCATCCCCGAGTCTCAGCCCGGAACAGCTCGCAGCGCTCAGGGCCGAAGGGCTCGGAGTGTCGAGCGATGGGAAGCTTACATGTATGGTTTGCAAAATGGCGGGGCGAGGCAGAAAGATGCGGTTCTGCACGCCCTGTGCTCGCGATGTTGCCGCAGCCAAGAAAGATGCCCAAGAAAATGGGTGGATTGCGTTGTACGAAGAGCAGGCCAAGGCTGATGACACTTTCGTGCTCATGATTCTGAAGTACCAGAAAAGTTGTGGAACCAAAGGCCGTGGCATCGCCCGAAACAAGTTCGATCATGTGTCCTTTCGTGAAACTTTGTACAGAAAGAAAGCAGTGCGGCGTGGGATCAAAGAGGTCATGCTTGATTGGGGCGAGTTCACCCAGCACTTCCAGAAGAAGGGATACAGTGGCTACTCGGCTGTTCGGTTATTGTCCTAAGGTCCCAAATCATTATGTCCCCTCAGGTCCCCAACCCTATATTGCCCTATATCCCCAATCCCCAACCCTATATCTTGAATCCCAAACGAGTTTTGTGTCTAGCACGTGAGTTTTACGAGTCTATGTTTCGTCTAGGCCCAGAGATTCTGGAGAAGTGGCAGCAGCTCCAGAATGATGGGGCTGAGACGGACTTGAAGGGTCGCAAAGGCCAAGAACTCCGAGTGAGCACGGAGACGGAGACCTTCAAGTTGGACTTCACGGAAGAGGGCACTGAGATGGCTCGTGACTTGTCCCACACATCAAAAAAATTCAAGGCTGAAGACGTGGAGGAGCTGGACGATGCTGTGAGAAACTTCGCGAGGCCTCAAATTCCTGGGGCAGCGTCTCATTCTAGTTCGCCTCCTGGCCAGCCGCCTGCTAGCGCTGCGGCTGAAAACAAGGACAAGAGCGAGAAGAACAAACCAAAGGAGCAGCGAAAGACGCCTTTGTCTCGCCGTGTTGCCTTGCATGATTCAGCACTGCAGGCTGTGCGCAAGAGCCAGGAAGCGTTGAGGAAGCTGCCTGACAAGATGAAGGAGACCATCGCAAAGTTTGAGTCGGAAGAGGCTGAGTATGAGGAGTACATGCGCATCCTCCGGGCTCGTGCAGAGCTTTGTGGTTTCATGGGGCAGAATGATGACAGCAAGACCCGGGATGAAGTCGAGAAGGCGGCCTTGGCTACACAGGAAGCCTTGGAGAACTACATCAAATCCTTGAGCACGTCAAAGCAGAGCTACCTCACGGATGGTGGCTCAAACTTGAAAAGCGTTCCTATGGCATTGCATCTCGCTTTCTCTGTGTTGAGTAAGAACTCTCACGAGGAGATCGACCAGTGGAAGAATGACTGGGAGGATGTGATTTCCGGCTTGGTGCAGATCGCGACTTTGATGGACCAGAGTATCAAGGATCTTGTGCCTTGCCCTTATTAGGGTTTCAGGTTTGGGCTTTAGGGTTTGGGGATCTTCCTGTCGAGTGAACCCTAAACCCTAAACCTTCAAACCCTAAACCGTCAGGAGTCTGCCAAGCGAGCTCGGGATAAGAAGCGTCAGCGAGACGCAGACGCCGAGAAAAAGAAGGCGGAGCGTGAGGAGCAGAAGCGTGTGAAAAAGGATTTGAAGGATCAGCTCAAGGCCGGTGCCACAGGAATGGCCGCTCCAAAGGCAGCAGCGGTTCCTGTGGTAGAGGTGCCGAAGAAGAACATTCTGCAGGTGCCCACTGACATCATGGAGAAGGTCGGTGAGATGACGGAGGCTGACTTTGCGCAGCTGGACACGAGCGAGAAGAAGGAGATCATCAACGAGCCGCTGCTCATCACAGACTGTGAACAGACTGTGAGAAAGCTTCGCGCCATGAACAAGGTGAAGGCTCAGATGACCATGTTTCGGTCCCAGTTCACCACGACCAGCCATGTGAAGGCCACCGGCCGAGCGCAACTGCCCATCACAGCCGCAGACCAGATTGAGGAAGTCTTTGCAGTCCTGAAGGCCCTGGACCCGGCATGCACTCAGTGGCCAAAGACTCTTCCAGCGGGCCATGACCTGACACCTTTCGTGCAGCCCTACATCTATGGCTTCACCGACAGCATGGTCTATATCGGGGGTGAGGACAAGTGGGCCGGGCAGGTGCGGATCCAGCTCTCTGGCGTCCGGTATGTGGTTCTGGCTGCTATGTCGCCTCTGGTGGACGCCCTTGGCTTGAAGGGCAAGGGCATCAATGAAGTGGCCAAGGCCTTTTCTGACATGGACAAAGACCAGGTCGAGAAACTGGGTGTCGATAAGGACTTCAAGCTGCAGTGTGCCGTTCAGTCGAGTCACTCGGCTCTGTACGTGCCTCCGGGATGGATCTGTGCAGAGTATGTTCGATCAGCGGAGGAGATTGTCGGTCTGAAGATGGCATCCGTTCACGTGGACGCTTTGGCAAGCTTCCGGGAGATTTTTGAGCAGAAGGAAGCCGCCGACAGCTCAAGTCCCATGGTAAAAGCCATGAAGGCTTACATGACTTATGTTAGCTCAAACTGAGGATTCTGAAAGCTTGAATCCGCAGGGGTCCTCATCTTGTCACTCCGCATCGCTGGTTTTATTATCTTACGTGAACGCCTAGCTGCAATTCAAACCCTGATGTTTTCGCTGTCGCAGAGTGAGATGAATGAGATGTTCGTGCCAAATCGGCACCCATTCAGGCTGTCCCTGAGGCAGCAGTCGCCTGCTGGGGCGGGGTCGTCATCAAAGACCTGTAAGATCACACGTGGGGTGTGCCTGAGCAGCGAAACTTTGAAAGTCATTCCAAGTTGCATTCCAGTACTCGTGAGCGAATTGGTTTCCTGCCTTGTAGTGGTCCGGCCGAGTCTTGCCCCTCTCCCTCTGCCAGGTGCCGGCTTCAACTACCAACTTTATGCATGCAGCAGGGTTCAGGGTTTAGGGTTTAGGGGTTTAGGGTTTACGGTTTAGGGTTCAAGGTTTAGGGTTTAAGGTTTAGGGTTTAGGGTTTGTTCGCTACGAATCTTGATTCTTTTGCTGCTGCACAGATTATGGTGCTTCAAACTTGCAACGCCTAAGCCCTAATTCCAAATACCTGTCTTCTGCAATGATCAAATTTAATTGGTCCCTAAGCCATAGGCCCAAAACCCGATCCCCAAAACTAGAGATCCGAGCTCTTGCAACAACTCTCGAGGCCCAGCGTTCACGGCTATACTCCCAAAATGCCCGAAAAACCAGAACTTGAACCTCGTTGAAATTTGGCAGAGGTCGTGAGACTATCTTTCCGATCGTCGTGGCCGTCAGCGAAAGCCCTAGGTGCACATTAGGTTGCATGTTCCTTATGCGCTTACGGCTTAGGTCATGGAATCAGTGGCTCATAGGGGTTTCTTTTCAGGTTGAAGGCTTGTTTGGTGTCGCGTGAAGCCGAGGGGTGTGGGGCTTGGGGTGTGGTTTGGTGTAGAGTCGCTGAATGTCCAAAAACAGCTTTATGAGTTCTGATTCCCAAAGCTTCAATCCCAAGTCTCGATGCCTGAATATCTTTTGGTTTGGTGTAGAGTCGTTGAATGTCACAAAGCAGCTTTATGAGTTCTGGTGCCCAAAGCTTCCATCCCAGTCTCGATGCCTGAATATTTGAAATCTGCAGCTTAAGCAGCCCTCAAATCCAAAACCCAGGAGTTTTAGGCCTTCAAATCCTAGAGTCCGGCAACCCAAAGCCCTTGTAACCCACGCTACAGACGGATCAGTTTCGCTTTGTGCGACCACAACCCCAATTTCCAAACATATCGTAAAGGTTTTTGCCTGAGAGCAAATAGCCAGAAAGTCCAAGGTCTGACCATCTGACGCTGGATCCGAGTGCAGCGGGAAGCAAAATGAATATGTTTAGTACGCGTGCGAGCTCTTGGTCTCAGTCTGCTCGGCCGGGACATGTTCTATGTGTCGTGTGTCACTAGGTCGGAGTTTCAACAAAGTTGCAAGGGGTGTCAGAAGGCACAATTACAGCGGGGACCCGGGGAAACTTACTACTGCTGCATCTGACGGCCCGACAAAAATCGTTTCGTATACGGTTGTGCTGTGCTGTGTGGTAAGAGTTGTCACTGCTAACTATCTTGTCCTTTTTTTTTGCAATCAAAAGAAACGATATGCAAAAATACTCACGTATTGTCCACTCGGATGATCGCCTCGTATCGAGCTATGTGTCTTATGAGCACGATGCTGTACATGTACAGCACTTTTTATTTGTACTTGTAAGATACAAACATGCAATGTCGTCCGTCTCACGTGTGCTCAAGTGATATGGCAGCTTTGCCCTATCACTCACAACACATTTAGACAACACATGTGGTATGTGCACGTGTGTGCATACCGGAGAACAGTATATTACAGCATGTTGGCAAATAGCTCTGTGTAATTCGTATGTTCATGACACATGCACAACACGTACAGTACCGTATGTGCACATATCACGTTTCTGCACGAGTCCTTGTTCAGTCTTTTCTGGTGTTTGCGTTTACCAGCGACTCAGCCGCACTTAGAAAAGGTCTTGGCTCAATTTCTGGACCCATGGCCGAATAAAAAATTTGAGATGGAGCCGTAAAGGTGTGTGTGTGTGTGTGTGTGCGTGTGTGTTCATTTTGCTGTGGACCATTGGTTCTGTTTCGGATGAGAAGAGATAGTAGATAGGAGCCGGGTGTCGTCAAATCTGGGACGCAGATTCCGGAACGCTGCTGGGGGTTTCTAAAGGAAAGAGTCTGCGTCACCCAGCACACCGAGACAGGCAGTAGACAGCTGTGTGCCACACTCAGGTTTGATCAATACGAGTATTGGTACCGTAGTGAAGAACCCAAAACTTAAGTTTGGCGAATCGTGCGCTGAGAACATGCAGAGAACAATAAAGCTTGTAGCATCATCGTGGTCTTGCGGTCCCAACATTTCCAACTTAGACTATTTCAGTAAGGAGATGGGCCGACGCACTAAACCAAGAGTGTTTGATGACTGCAGGGAGGCCCCCGCATGACACTGATGCAGCTCGAGAAGCATATTGTAGGATCAGAAGGCCCAGTCTGATATCTTCCCTGCCAAGCAGAAGCCATGGAGACTTGGTCTTTTGATGTGAATATCTGGCAGCATCTCCCAGCATGTGTCGCAGATGATACCCTCAAACTTGTCTTAGACCATGTGCCAACGGATCCGAGAGTCGCACCTAAAGCACCTCGTGAGTGGCCTCGCCGCTTCGCAAAGCTTCCGAACGGAATCTTGGTATCTTTTGATGGCTCGTGGTGATGTAAACAGAAGCAGCGCTGTTGGTTCCAATGTTTTGATCTTGCATAAGGAACAGTGGTTTGGCAGGTCAGGGGCTCCTGTTGGACCTACGACGACGACGACGAGGAGCGACGTCTCACCTCACGAGAGTATGCCCTGCTTCTGAAGCAACTCGCAAAGCGATCTGACTTCTAGAGCAGGATTGCGCAAAAACACAACGGCCATGGGATCGGAAATAACATTTTTTTTGTGTGTAGGGTGCGACGGTACTGCGTCGTGCACCACTCCTGCAGACAAGGTGATACCATTCTTCTCTGCATGCCTCTGAGATCTGGTTCATGGTTTAGGTTGAAATAATACTGTAATCAGGCTTATTTATATAAAACCGCTCAAAGTGCGGATTCGAGGGGGGGTAGCATATATATATATATATATATATATATATCTTAAACATGCTCCCCGATTAGGCGATTCCGGTTCATCATATATCTCAAACAGCCCCCCCTCATTTGGCGATTCCGGTTATCATATACCTTCAACACGCCAGACCAGTTGGGTTCATCATAATTCCGGTTTGTCACATATGCTTAAACATGTCCATTTGGCGGTTCCGGCTACCATACACATTAAACACGATTCCGGTTTATCACATATATTCAATTTTGCCCCTCACTTGGCGATTCCGGCTATCGTATACCTTCAACACGCCAGACCAGTGGGGTTCATCACATACCTTAAAAAATTCTTAAACACGCCCCCCATCGAACGATTCCGGTTCATCATCATATATATATATATATGTATGTATGTAAACGTCCCTCATTTGTCAGTTCGGCTATCATATACCTGAAAACGCCCCCCGATTGGGCGATTCTGATTTTGCATAAACATGTAAACACACCCCTCATTTGGCGATTCCTGGTATCACATACCTTATATACCCCCCCTTCACAGAACCTTGATGGCCTCTGTGCTTCATGTCAACGCCGGAAAGTTGCAACACGGTTCCAACTCTTGGGGGCTTTTGGGGTCGAGGTTGCAAGTGCACTTGTCAAGTCACATGCTGGGCGCCTGGCGAATATACTGGATTGGAAATGCTGAGAGCGGGCATCGTTCACCTTGCTGCTCACCGGTCCATGGCTTTGCATCTCTGGCAGCAGTTTGTGAGTTTGATGTTGGTGAGTCTGAGATGAGCGGTAATAAGCATAGTAGAGGTGAGGTAGACTCGCTTTTGCAAGTGTGTTCACTTTCACGCAGGGGTGGTGAACAACACATGTGATGCCGACAAAAGGTAATCGGGGTGAAGGGCCAACAGTATCCTGGGCCAGATTTTGTCGCGACGCCCTTCCTTAAAGGTCTGTTCCGAGGCGCTTCCGGAAGGATTTGGTCCCGACGCCTTTCGCAGAGAGATTTGGTCTCGAGGCCCATCCTGCACAACCGCAGTATGCGCAGGGATATCATGCACTCATTGGACTCTGCAGGCAGGGATCAGTACCAAGCTGCTTCGCCGGTGTGTTCTGTGATAGCCAGGCTTTCATGTCACCCCGGCCAAAATGCTTTCCCGCCTTGTCTGGCATGTTTCTGTACAGACGTGTGTTTCACAGACGTGTACAGACTGGCTCAAACTTCGTGTATAGACTGCACCCTCCGGTTTTTAGGGTTGCGGTTTGCTTGTGGGGGTGGTTTCGTTTCAGGGTTTGGTTTAGGGTTTAGGACATACCTGCCTAGGCCCCCGAAGGGGGAAACCAGGCATAGGGTTTCGCCAAGGTCCCCAATTTTGCAGGGGAAACCTGGCACAGGGTTTAGGGCCTTGCTCCCCAAATTTTAAGGGGAAAGCGGGTTAGGTCGGGTTTAGGGGCCCAGCCTTAGCCGTTCTTATTGGGTTTAGGTCCCCTCATCAGGGGAAGCTGGGCAGGGTTTAGGTTAGTGTTAGGTTAGGTTGTTTCCCTCCTCCCACCCCCATGCATGATGACGTCCATGGTCTAACCCATTCTGAAAAGGAAGATCCATGGCCCAACCTTGATGACGTAGTAGTGGTGGTAGTAGTAGTCGTCGTCGTCGTAGCAGCACCCCAGCCCCACCCCCTCCGCGACCCGAAACTGACCTCTGCCCGATCCGAAACCGACCACGGCCCGATCCGAAACTGAATACGGCCCGATCCGAAACTGACCCCTGGCCGTCCCGAAAATCAACCCCGAAACTCACCCGCCCTGATCCGAAACTGCCCCCCGGCCGATCCGAAACTAGGACCCCGAAACTGTGGGTACCCCAATACTAGGTCC